CTATTATTCACAGTATCCTGAATTGTAGTCTCCGCAACAAAAGGGGGTTTAAGAAACCACGACGGCGACGCCGAGGACAACGTCGATTAAAAAATGATTGTGAATTTATATTTTATCTACTAATCTTGAGAGATAATCTAAAGTCATTTGTTTTGTTTCTCACAGTCAGAACTAGCACGAAACTAAATCTGAAACCCAGCGATAAACCAACGCGGAATTTGATCATTTCACGTTGTTGTTTTGCAGAGGACGGCAAAGAAATGTACCAAGAATTATAACGCACGTGCACAGCTATTGTTCTCCTGATTAAACCTTTTGTTTAGCGACGTTGCCGTTGCCGTTGCCGTTGCCGTCGCGGTTTCTTAAATTCCCTAAAGTCTCCGCAACAGCACCATCACTTAGAATTGTTAATTACAACGGAAACATACGCAACATTAGTTAAATGTTTTGGCAATTATATTAACTAGGTAAAATGCCCTTACAAATAGAGCAGAGAGATATTTTTTTCACAGAACTTCTCACTTAAGTTTGCAGGAACAAAAATAATGACATTTCTGTGTAGTCTCCGTAACAGCCTCATAACGTACTGTTGCATCCCGCTCATTCGATACTGAGTGATTTACACTACTGTTGTGCATAGCTCTAATGGAGATCTACAACACAACACTAGTCTGCATCTAATTTGTAGTCTACATTTTTCGATATATCATAATGAATGTCTCTGAGTGTAGTCTCCGCAGCAGCAGAATACTGTGGAATGGCCCGATGATGAGATCATTTTATTTCTGTGACACCTTTGCACAACTACATGTTTGAGGCTGAGGCAGGGAGTTGTAAGCTCCTCTGTTCAAGCTTACAGTTCGACACTCATTATGGAGCAATAATCGTAACCACTTTTTTCAAATTATAAATGTTAGAATTTGAAACTCGAGATTAGTAAACAATTTCCAGGTGAGTATTTACTATTCAGCAATATGTAATACTCCCAAAACAAATGCATTTTTAAAATCTGAGGACAAGCGAAAGACAATTGTATGCGCACATTCAT